CGTGCCCGCGCATTCCCACGTCTCTGAGCGGCACGCGCCCGCCTGCCTTCCCCGCCACCTTCGTTCTTGCCTCCTGGAGCAGCTGCTTTGACTCGGTTGGTTGGTTGGTTGGTTGGTTGGTTGGTGAATTGCTGGCTGTGGCGCTTGCACACGACGGCATGCGGAGGTTTCCCGCTCGGGCGAGCCTCCCTCCTCCCCGCCTTGATTTCCCGTAAATCCAGTTTACTTAAATTCGGAGTCAAGGCTGGGAACGCCGCCCCGATCGTTCCCACCTTGGTGAATACCTGGGTTTTCCCATCCCGGTTCCGTGGAATGGTATCACATCTCGGGGGCTTCTGACGACAAAACCAGGAGGACGTGAAACTCCTTACGGCTTTCGGGGTTGAGGATTATGGGAACTGTAATACTTGGATTTGAATATCCAGCGGGCACCCGGTTGGGAAAAAGCTGCCTGGGGCTGCTCTGCTAATTGGGCTGAATTTTAATGATTAACGTAGAGTTGGACCAGGTCGAAGGGGACAAAGGTCTCCCTTTACAGTTGTTTATCCCATTCAAAGGAGTCTCTCTGATACACCAAAAACAGAGGGGAAAAAATCCAAGTAATAACTGGGGGAATCCGTCATTTTGAGTTTCCCCCATTGTCCTCAGCCATAAATTCAGAACAAAATATCTCAAAGCAAAGGAGTTAAGCTGATTTTAGGATTGATGTCCCTTATTACTTAGGACTGATATTCCTCCTTTGCTCCAGGTGCCCAAGGAGCAGACGTGCCATTACCTCCTCCAGTTTCTCCCCACAACAACAATCTTGTGAGGTGGGATGGGCCGCAAGAGAGGTACTGGTTCAGAGTCCCCCAGGAGCTTCTGTCACTGTGGCGGGATTAGAACCTGGATCTCCCTGCTCCTACTCCGGCACCCTCCCCATGACCCCATCTTGGGTTTGGGGCTGAACGTCTGTGGCTGAAGAGGCACCAAAATCGGGGTCTCTCCTTCATTGCTACATCACCCCCATGGCTTTAGGGCTGAGAGGAAGAGACTGTCCCTACATGGCTGAATGGGGACTTAAACCTGTTCTTCATCCTGCACCTTCACTGCTACACCACACTGGCTCGGGCTGAGGGAGAGGGACCGGCCCAGGGTCCCCAGGAAATTTCTGTGGCTAAGCAAGGACTAGAATCTGGGTCCCTGTTTGGACACCTTCGTCACTGCACTGTGCAGGAACCCCAGTTCCTACGCTGTGTACAGAAGCTGACTCAATGGGCAGCAGGTAAATTGCTGCAGTGGTCTGTGGGAATGACCTTGGGAGGCAGGAGGAAGAGCCACAGCCTAGATAAATGGAATTTGAGTCCGAAGGAGGAGGGGTGGAAAAAGCGTCTCAGAAGGGACCCTCCCTAGTTTTCGGGAGAGTAAAACTGAAGGAAGGGAGGGGTAGTTTCAGACTTGCAAGATTCTGTTCGTGTAACCTTACAATAAAGAGAGAGCTAGTACTCCTGTGGGTGCTTCTGGTCTGGACTACTTTGCAAGGCTGGTAATTGCACAGAAAATGGGGTCACAACCTTCAGTGTGTTTGGCGGCAGCAGGCCAGCTTATGGGGCCAGAGTGGAAGGCACTGGGCTGTGTGTGCTCGGAGACAAGAAAAACTGGGATGAAACATTTGCGCCACCCAAAGGCCAGATAGGAGAAGACAGGTGGAAAACTGTCCTAAGTCAGAACGCTTCCAGTTTGTCTCGTCATCTGGCTAGAAGCAAAAGAGGAGAAGCCTCTAATAGTTGGGTTTGTAAAAGGCAAAATTGTGAAGTGTCCAGCAACATACTTTAAGAAGGGTGTGGACAAACCAGAAGAAGGGCAAAGAAAGGCAGCGAGAACCACCAAAAGTCTGGAACCTTGGCGGACAGATTGAGGGAACCCATTAGGTTTAGCCTTGAAAAGAAGAGCGGGATAAATAAGTTCTCCCATCAGAGCAGTGTTTCTCAACCTCAGCAACTTTAAGATGTGTGGACTTCAACTCCCAGAATTCCCCAGCCAGCCATGCTGGCTGGGGAATTCTGGGAGGTGAAGTCCACACATTTGCTGAGATTGAGAAACACTGCACCAGAGGGTCGTAATAAACATTACACACCACAAGAGTCTTTATTCTTGTTGTATGTCATGTTTATATTATGACCAAAAGGCCAAAATAGCAAAGTACATATATCATTGAAAGGTTTAGCAAAAGATAAAATAGTTTGGCAGATAAAATCAATGAATAGATACTATGCAAAACATTTCAAACCTCAAACTTATTCATAGATTAGTAAGGACCTTGTTTTTATAGCCATAGTTAAATTGCCACTGTAATTTTAGGACTTTTATCTGAGGGTAAACTTTAACATATTCAGAAATATCTCTTCCTGGCCTCAACAGTAAAATCAGCCAGATGATGTCATGCCAAAAACTCTTGTAAAAATCTCAGTGCAGTAAAATGTGGTCCACGTTTCAAAGTCAGTACCATTACAGGGACGATGTCTTTGAGAGATGGGAATCTTTTGCAGTCTACCATATCGCCTATTTGACGGCAGCACGTTTAATTTGGCTTTAGAAAGGGCGATTCTATATTTACACAAATGCATTTCCTATTGAAAGTGAGGAATTGCTAGGAATGTTAGGAAAAACATCCTAATGGAAAGAGCAAATCAGTTGTGGAATCAATTGCTAAAGAAGATGTTGCTGGGATACACTCAGAAGCTAGACAGCTTGTAGATGTCTAAAGGGAGGAAATGGGGCAAATGGCAAAATGTGGGACATCCTCACACAAAGGCCATAACTTACTGACTTGCATCAGATGTTGGGACACAAATACATGGTTCTGACATTTATATGGTTACATTACTGTGCATGTGTGGTCATTTTGGCATCATCGCACTATGCTGTGGACATCACCGGACAGTCCTTTTGGGGATGTTTTATTTGGATCCCCAAAGTGAGCAGGGGGATGGATTCAAGGGCCTTTCTCAACACTGCAGTGCATCCCACCCCCCTTCATTCAGTTAGATTAGGAAAAGCCCTTGAAGACCGATTCAAAGGAGGTGTTAAGCAATTCTACCTTCTCCCAATTCCACTTCCTTCTCTTCTCCGTGGGACAGACCAACGGCCTCCTAGACTTTTCCTTTGGTCAGGTGGTGGTCCACTTACATGGACTCATCCCACATTCTTGCAACACTTCCTCCTCCTTGGTGTCCTCCTCTCCTTGACAACTTTCTGGGTCCTGTCCTCCTCAGAGGTCTTCACAGAAAGCTCTCTCTGTGTTCTTCATCTTCCTGAGATTTCAAGAAGAAAGAGTGGCCTCCAGTTCTTTCAATGGAAAGGAGCATTGCAGTTTGCTAACCTTCTTCCTTGTTCGCTCACCCAATTTTACTCACTGGGGCTCCTGAAGGGGACCTCAGCTGTTGATTTAAGTTTCCTGATAGATATATATGGCAGAAAATATAGAGGAAATCCAAAAGCTGTAGTGAGGTCTGCTGAAATGTCCTCTTCTGCTCAACTACTCCCCTGTTTAACTATTAAAGCTGCTCTTTTTGTCTCTGGTTACCTTAAAAGATTAGGAAAAGAAATTAGTTGAGTTTTTTTTAACTGGTACCTAAATACTATCAGGTTTACTAGCTGGCGAATTGATAAAGAGCTTAGGAGACCTCACCAGAAACATTACAACTTGAGTAAAAAAGTGAATCTCAACTCTTAAGATGAAGCAAGTCAGTTCATTTTCTATAATAGTATAAAGGAATACTTCCTGGAGAATTTAGCTCTTGATATACCATAATCTCTGAAATGAAATAAATATTTGGACAACAGAATGAACTATCAGGCCAAAGATATCCACAGACCAATCACAAATTACTTTTGACCTTATCCCTTCAGTTCTCCCCTCTTTGGGTTTGGTGGGGGTGTTTTTGCATTTTCTCTTCTTTATTCTATTACACCTATGGCTCTGTATGTATTGCTAGATTACAAGTCACAGGATTTTCCACCACTGATGAAGCTGACTGTGCCTGACAAGAGTTGAATTCAACAGTGTTCCAAAAGAGTCTATGGAATACCGCCCCCCCCCCCGCTTCTTAGCATAAATGTCTTTTCCAAGTTCTTCACCATTTTATTAGTTAAATCTCTTCTGTATGGCACAAATCTTCCCTAATCGTCATTTCTGAAAGTACTAGAAGCAATATATATTTATTTATTTGCCATTATTTGTGTAATGGAATTATGGAATTGTGTAAATGTGATGGAAAGTAATTTTCTATTGCAATTGCAATCTCTAAGAAACAATAATACGATGATACAATTGCAATCTCTAGCAACAACAAAACCATAAAACTATATCATAATAGTCCTGAAAACAATATAAATTAAGACTGCTGAACAGATGGCAGGCAAAACATAGGTATCAGTTTGTTATTTCACAGTCTCATTTTTTTTTAAAATTTCACAAGCTATGTTTAACAGCTTTTTCAGAAGGTGACTAAAGTAGAGACTAGCTGGATTGCAGAGGAGAGCTTCTTTCAGAAGGTCAGGGCAGCAACTGAAAGCACTGGTTCCACACCACCGTTCCCTTCATCTCTTGGGAACATCTTCTCATGAGCAGAACAGACAGGTTGGCCACAGTCAACTTGCAAGAGATGGTCACGTGCATATCCCGGGCCCACGCGATTTAGGGCTTTATAGATTAATGCCAGCACCTTGAACTGTACTCATAACCCTACTGGAAGCCAGTCCAGTACTTACAGTGTAAGCACCATACTGCCAAGCAAGTTCATACTAGTCAGTGTGCAGGCTGCATCAATGACAGTTTCCAGGTGGTCTTCAAGCTGGAGGGTATTGTGGTAACCTCACACCCCAGCTGCAGCTGGGCAAAGGCATCACGGCTTCCGTCTGTTGATTTAGGTGGAGCTGTGAATACAGGAGCGCTGCCAAGTTGTGGACCTACTCCTTTGGAGACAACGTCATCCCCTCCAGAACCAAAAGGGGAGCCCACCAATCTACCTCTGGACAAATCGTTTCTTTTTCTTGCTGGTATTCAGTTTCAACTCCTTTCATCTCACCCAGAGTCTTAGAGCCGCCAGACATTGAGTGAGAGCTTCCACAGCATCTCTTCAGCTCCGTGTAGAGATGAATAGTTGGATATCATTCACATATTGACAATATTTCACCTTGAACTGGCAGATGACCTCCTCTGGTGGCTTCATGGAGATGATACACTGTATAGTATGGGGGAGACTATCAAGGTCTACAGTGCCCCATATAAAACCCTAACCCTATGAGCCTCATCCTTCATCCCCCATTACTACTGACTGATACCACCCACTCAGGAAGGAGAACAGCTGTAATACAGTGCCACCAGTCCCAATTCCTGTAGGTGTTCCAGAAAGATATCATGATCAATGGTATCAAAAGCAGCTGAAAAATCTAGCAGGACAAGGAAAGCTGCATTCCCAATTTTGCTGCCCTTACACATAGCACAAACCTGACTAAGGGCTCGTACATATGTTCACTTGTGTTTGCTCTTCATTTTCCACCACAAGCATCTTTTTATTTATTTACTGGGTTTATTTGCTTATATACCACTCCTGTCATTACCACCTTTGAGCAGAGGACATACCCAATGTCTATATATCAAGTTAAAACAATACAATAATGATGTTTCTAGTCACTGGAAATAACCATCATTACAATAATAAAATAAAAAAGAGTAACATAACATACTGTAACGTCTATATCACCTGTGTTAGATTTTACCATGATTTTTTTCTTTGCCACTTCATCTTCTGAAGCTCCTTGGTAAGTCTGATCTGTGGTCAGGAAGATATTGCAAAGGTGCCCACACCATAATAAACTCCATATCCCAGAAGGTAACTAGGTTTGTGGAAGAAGTGGGAACTTCCCAGCCACTATTTAGCTGGGAACTTCCAAACACCTGGGAAGCAAATTTAATTAATGTGTTAACAGCTGGAAATCTACTATGGGAAGCTGGTTGTTTAGCAATGGCACTGGAAAAACTAAATTTGTTGCATTTTGATGACTTCTGCCACTAATGAAGGCCACTGTTTAGCTGGGAACTTCCAAATGCCTGGGAAGTAAAAAATAAATAAATAAAATACTCCTTTGAAGGTAATCGCAAATTCCAAACAGGGGATGCTGTTAAATGTCAGTTTAGGCCAGTGTTTCTCAACCTTGGCCGCTTGAAGATGTGTGGACTTCAACTCCCAGAATTC